AAATCCTCACCCAAGGATATTCTTCTATTTATCCTCAGATAGAGTGTGAGGAAGAGAGAGAAAGAAACATCGATGTGAGAGAGACGCATTGATTGGCTGCCTCCTGCACAACCCCAACCAGGGCCGGGGACCGAGGTACGTGTCCTTGATCATAATCAAACCTGTGACTCTTCAGTTTGTGGGCTGGCTCTCTAACCACTTAGCCAAACAAGCCAGGGCAGAAATACATAATTTTTAATAAATTGACCATGGCAGCTTCACAGCAGGCTAAGCATTAGATTACAAAGTTTACACCTTAAGAATTAATGCTTCTGCCCTGGCCGGTTTGGCTCAGCGGTTGGAGCGTCCGCCTGCGGTCCTGAGAGACCCAGGTTCGGTTCCCGCTAAGGGCATGTACCTCGGTTGCAGTTTGTCCCCGGCCCTGGTCGGTTGTGCGGGTGGCAGCCACTCAATGTGTCCCTTTCACATCGATGTTTCCCTCTCTCTCTCTCTTCCGCTCTCTCCCTCCCACTCTATCTGTGCAAAAAATGGAAAGATGTCCTCGGGTGAGGATTAAAAAAAAAAAAAAAAGAATTAATGCTTCTAATGTTGGTATTCCACCATAATGTTAGCTCTCTACCCAAATCTCAGTAACTTTCCTATCCAGGACACTCAACTTATCTTTTGATAAATATCTAATATACATAGGGTACTTGGATCAAAATAGTTTTGCTTTCAAGGACTTCATGGTCTACTGAGGGAAAAAACACTAAAATAGCCCTGGCCAGTTTGGCTCAGCGGTTAGAGCGTCGGCCTGCGGTACAGAGAGACCCGGGTTCGGTTCCCGCTAAGGGCGCGTACCTCGGTTGCGGTTTGTCCCCTGCCCTGGTTGGTCGTGCCGGTGGCAGCCACTCGATGTGTCCCTTTCACGTCGATGTTTCTCTCTCTCTCTCTCTCTTCTCTCTCCCCCTCCCACTCTATCTGAACAAAAAGTGGAAAAATGTCCTCGGGTGAGGATTAAAAAAAACCAAAAAACACTAAAATAAACCATGGGTCGCAGGAGTCATGTGTCATGTCAAGGTATGCAGCCAGATCTATCAGAAGTCCTCAGAAGAGTTTTTGGCTCTAATATCTCTCTTCTCGGGCTAGGAGAACATGCATGGGCTCGAGTCATTAGCAATTACTTACCCACATTGAGTCATCTCATCTCTACAGTACCTGATGGAGGACCAACATACTGCACTGAGCACTGTGCTGGGCCTATGAGGGGCCCAGCTAACTCTTGTTTCCCTCCGTTGGCAAATATTGATAATACTGGATTGAGCACTGCTGTAATCATGAATTATCAGCAGGTACTTTCATTTGACAATGAACAGTCCTACAAATTCAAGTCACGGGATTACGTAAAACAATGTTCTTATTTGCAGTCTTCCATCTTGAGCCACCTCCAGTGAGCCTGCCTCCCATTTTGGTTTCTAGTTAAGCGGCTCACTTTTTCTCCCTCCACCGTTGGACCACACTCAAGTTCACCTAAAACTCTGCGCAGCTGAGGTCTACAGACCAGCCCCACTCTGCAAAATCCCGATTCCTACCTTCCTTCATCCCTGTAATTAAGAGTTACTGAACTTTCTAGAAATGTATTTTAACCCAGGATTTATGCACAACAATGCTAATTACAGCACTACTCATGATAGCAAGAGATTGTCAACAATCCAGATACCCCAAGATTGGAAACTATTTAAGTAAATTATGGACCATCCATATAAACAAATATTGTATAGCCATTTAAAGTGTTTTGGGCCTGGCTGGTTGAACGCTGACCCATGCACCAAGAGGTTGCTGGTTCGATTCCCAGTCAGGACACATGCCCAGGTTGTGGGCCCGATCCCCAGTGGGGGGTATGAAGGAAGTGGCCAATAGATGTTATCGCTCATTGATGTTTCTATCTCTCTAAAAATCAATCAAGAAAAAATTATTTTAAAAAATAAAGTGTTTTGACATTCTTCATGCTAAAGACGTTGTACATATAGTATAAATCCTACCATATAAAACATAATGCAGGATAGATCGACAAAACCCAAACGTTAGTGGCTTTTAGCCTTAAAATGGTGTCTCCTTTGTTTCTGACTCTCTTTTTCAAACAGGTCTTGCATCATCCGGATATGATCATGGATTAAGTTCTCTACATGTCAGTTTCTCTGCAACCAATCCATTCCTGACACATTCCCAAGCAAAGATCCCCAGCTGCCCACTGCCACTCCAAGGTATGGTCCATCGTCCATTGGCTCACAGCAACACCACCTTAGAAATTCTTGCCCTCCTCTTAGCTTCCTCCTTCCCTAACCTTTTAAGAGTCTTCTCCTACCCATGGGACTTAAAGGCCCTGCAGCTAAAAGCCTGAGGAGTTTCCAACATCCGTGCTGAATGATCCAATCCCCTGGTTTCCTACCATCCCCCTCTCAGCCCCTCCTGACCACACAGCCCTGGCCACCTCCCAGCCCTGCCTGTCTCTCTGCTCCACAGCGTTTCTGCAGAAGCCATTCAGCCAGGCTTGCTCCACACCCTAGATGCCCGTATGCTCACTGACAGAACCTGATTAAGCACCTCCTCTGCTTTTCTGACTCCTAAGGCAGGCGAGTTCAGGTTAGTTTAAAAGACAGAAACCACCTGACTGGTGTGGCTCATTGGTTGAGTGTAGACCCATGCACCAAGAGGTCACCAGTTTGATTCCTGGTTAGGGCACGTGCTCAGATTGTGGGCCAAATCCCCAGTGGGATATGCGGGAGGCAGCCAACTGATGTTTTCATTGATGTTTCTCTCTCTCTCTCTCCCTTTCTTCCTCTCTCTCTAAAATTAATAAAGAAAAAAAATTAAAAAAAAAAACAACCACCAGAAACCTAATAAAACCGAAATGCACCAGTCTAGCTCTGCCCCTTTAGCTATGTGACATGGGACACTTTTGTCACCTTCTCTGGGTTTACTTCCTCATCTTTGAGATATTTCCCTACAAATGTGTGGTTAACATTAACATAAAAGAACATTTGCTCACCTTTTATTCTCCGGGTCTGCTATCATTTTCCCCACTCCAAAGCGCTGCGCTTCCTGAAATCCTCTGGTCTGCAAATAACCCAATTTTCTACCTGGCCCTGCGCCATCAGGCCCCTCTCACTTCCGTTCTAAAAATAAACCACAGATAAACCCCTTCAACAGCTCCCTCTACTGCCTCTGCCCTCTTCATTAGGAAATCGCCTAAGTCCTTTATAGTTTCTATTTCATTTCTCAGTCCCTTAGCAATGGCATAAAGGTAGACACCATCTCAACCTCAGATAATCAGGTTAGAGAGACAAATATAAAAGCAATTCTTGCCCTCCCCCGTCCCCACCCCCAGAGTGACCCATGGACTGAGAGGTCCCGGTTCAATTCCTGGCCAGGGCACAGGCGGGGTTGTGGGCTTACACCAGTAAGGGGCTTGCAGTAGGCAGCCTATCCATGTTTCTCTCCCTTCCTCTCTAAAATATCAATGCTATTCTTGCTCATTTAGATCATGACTGCAATAACCCTACTTCTCACATCTAATCATCAAAACTTGAGTTCTCTCGACTCGATAGAGTGTGATCTTTGCAGTGGGGCATGTGGAAGAAGGCGTGGGCTCCACAGCCAAGCCTGGGACTGGAGGCTGAGCCGAGGTTTTAGGCAGATGGAAGTCATTACGAAATCCATGGGCCTATCGGTTATAAAATGCTTGGTAATGAAAAAATGTCAATTGCCTTTTCTCTCTTCATTCCTACTCAGGTTATTTATAGATGTATGTCTGTTTCTTCACTATATTGGAAACCCTTGTCAAGTTTTGGGACTCAACTGTGAAGTCAATTGTTTTAATAAAAACCACTATCAGTTCATAGTAAAATATGGTAACACAATGTTCCAAACCACCACCAATTTAAATAACTCTAAAAACTTAAGCTCCCTAATTACACACCTAAAAATTTTGGATTATAATTTGGGTTGATTCCAGTTCATGAAGATACCCATTTGTTTTGGATCTACATATATGTTAGAAATCTTCATTTAGCTTGGTCTTCCCCCCGTAATCAATACACACAGGGTAAACAGGGTTTCTCTTACAATCTAGAGCAGGCTATACTGCCTGTAATATTTTTCACAACCCTCCAAAAATGTAAAAAAAAACAAAAAACATCTGAATTTCACGGGCCACATGAACAGAGGCTGCAGCAGGGTCTGGTGCACAGGCTGTCGTTAGCCAACCCTGGTCTATAAAGAATTGGGTTATTAAGAACTTTCAGACCATGCTTTTGTCTTGACTCTCAGTCCTGGAACAAGCTTCAAAGCGCAGCATGCCTTTAATAAATAACTGAATGGTTTATCCAAGCAAGCTTAGTGTTATGAAATTGCCGTTAGCATGTGGGTTGGCAAATGGTAGAGGAAACATTGCAAAACTTCATGGGCACAGATTATTTTCTTCCCAGCGATCTAGCTGTCTTGGTAGATTTTCTTTATTTTTTTTTATCCTCACCCGAGGTCATATTTCCTCTTTTTGTTGTTGTTCAGATAGAGTGGGAGGGAGAGAGAGGAAGAGACAGAGAGAAACATTGACGTGAAAGAGACCTATCAAGTGGCCACCTCCTGCATGACCCAACCCGGCCGGGGACAGACTGCAATTGAGGTGAGTGCCCTTAGCAGGAACTGAACCTGGGTCTCTCTGGACTGTGGGCCGACATTCTAACCGCTGAGCTAAAACAGCCAGGGCTTGGTAGATTTTCTGATCACAGCTATCAGTCATATCAGCAAGCTAGACCTTGTTCAAAGGAGCTGGCCTTTGACATTCAGAAACTTAACACAAAAGGGAGACTCTAGAAAAGGCAGAAATATTCTGTTGTTTAAATACAAGGGGGAAAAAATTAAAATTCAGTGCAGTAAGATCGAGCATTAAAGATTTTAAAAAGCTGACAAGCTAGAACAAAATGTTTTATTATCAAAATAAAAACTTTGTATACAAGCATTACAGATCAAAAGCTCTATTTACATTTATTGAGTCAGGTCCACTTCTGCATCAAACCCCGAGTGGGCACAGCAGCAGGCCACACGTGCCAAGTGAAGCAGAGACACACTCAATCCCAACTCTACCAAATGGCTGATTAATGCAAAAGAATTTGGGGGACGGGGAGACGAAACATGAAATCTGCCCAGAAACTAAACTGGCAGAGATGTTAAGTCAACAAAATGGAAAGTCATCCATCTCCAAAAAGGCACTTCTCATTGTTCTAAAAGTGCTTAAAACCTGACCACAAACTGTGTGCCTAGCTCATTTCAAGAAAACAAAAACTGCAAATTCTAGGCTAATAGTATCAATTCTCCATGCAAAATGATCAAAAATTTGAAACACCTTACATTTATGAACTGACATAAACTTGGCAAACTACCATTATATTGAAAGTTTAGACCAGGAATTCAAACCAGCCTGTTTCCAAAGCCTCCCATCCTAGTTCCCCAGGAGGTCATTTCTATAGCGACTGCAGATACAGCACCGCCCAGTCCTTTGCATCCTGATGGTGGGAGCACGATGTGCCACCCAGACTCATGGTGAAAAAAACCAGCAACTATATGTCAGCATTAAGCAAAATACATGGAATATTCTCATCAGAGGCTTCCAAAGTAACACACCCCTTTCCAACAACTTTAAGATTTGTGTGCCTTGATTCGGTTAAAAATGTCAACTAGTGTGACAATCATACCCATTGTTTTTATGTAAACAAGTTAGAGGGCTGGTCTCAGTTGATGTAGTTAACACCACTACTGTATTCCCAAGTGCTTGATTTTACAGAGGTGGATTCCAGGGCTGTTTCAACACCAATGAAATCAAACAGGCTTTCATAAAACTGTCATTTTAAAAGAATTCAGAAGCTAGATGGTGAGAAAGACCCACTGTAAATAGAGAGGGACGGTGCAGGGTGAGGGGCAGGGGAAGCAAAGAAGTGGCAAGAGGGCAGAGCAGAGCAGCGGCAGGCCTCTGGGATGCTCGGAAACTCGTCTAAGGAGACTGCCGGGTGCGGGGAAGGCAGGGTCTTCCAGGCGCTATGCTTGCATCTCAAACTCCTGCTTCAGACTGAAAACAGGAAAGGGAACACGTCAGGGCATCATTTCAAATTAAGAATTCTCTTAAAAGCCTAATTCACTCTTCTAGAGATGTTTTTATTGAATTGTAATGTATATGCTTTAACATATGTTAAGTGTACAATTTGACTTTTTACACACACACACACACACACACACACACACACTCACGCAGGCCTCCACCACCCAGATGAAGATGTAAATTTCATACATTCCAAAAGACTCTCAATGTGCCCCTTTCCGGTCAGTATCGCACCCCCACCCACACCCACCCAGAGATAACCACTACTGACTTCTACCATCCATTTATTAAGACACATCAGTGCATGTAAGATTTGTGTGGAAAACAGAAAAACCAACGTTACCTTTTCAAGTAGGCGTGCACATTCCCAAAGCCATGGTATTTGGCTAAGTACACAAGGACCCCGGTCGCACACCGCCCATCTCGCTGACGACAGAAACTGCAATTGCAGATTCTTCGACAAGGGGGGCAATGCCAGTTCTGAATTGTGAAAATGCACAATTAAATCAAACCTATTCCCTCTGCCTCCCTACTTATCTACTCCTATTTAACCTATAAAAAGATTATCTATCATCAATTACTTTTAGATCTTTTATTTTTTTATTAAAAAAAAATCTTCACATGGTTAACATCCATTAGTCATGCCTAATGTTGCCTTCGGAAATCCACCCCAGAAAGTCACACAGCGATTCCCAGAGGTGAGCAGACTCAAAGCCCACCGGACCCCCGTCCAGGCACCTACTGGATCCAGCAGAGCATCCTTGACCTCTTCACCGTAACGGTTTCGAAGGCAGGGACCGCAGAACTGGCCTCGAACACCCCAGCACTCTGGGTTTCTGCAGTTTGTTTTGGTATCAATGGTTTTCTGGCGGCACTGATGACAAGTAGATCCCTACAAATAAGTAAAATAAAAAACATCACCCCTGCTTTTCGTAGAGAAAAATGGCATATTTAAAGAACAGCCTTCCTTATGGGTACAGTCCAACATTTTGAATCTTTTGTTTTGTATCTTACATACACACCTATATGCTAGGGCACGAAAAGTATCCCAATCACGCATGGTGATTTCATTCAATTGGCAGATTCAATATTATCAAAATGTTTCTTCAAATAAAGGTCTTTGAGCAGAATCTTTTTCTATCTTTAGCACACCACCATATCCCCAGCACCCTCTATGTAGACACACATAATAGATACACAGGAAACACATGCTGGATGAATCAGTTTCTAAATTAAGAGGAAAGATTTAATGCTACTGAAGACTTATTAAAAGGGCTAGATCCCAAGGATGCTACAAAAGTCTCTTTTCTTATATGAAAAAACAAAAAACAAAAAAAATCCCACACACATAGGCATATAGCCCATATGCTAAGATGTTTCGAACACTAGCAAAACTCCTAGGATAGAAGCTATCCTTCCTCTCATGGACGCTGACATTTTCAGACATAAGGTGAAGGCTTTTACCAGTGAACGGCTATATATCTTCTCTCGAGAGTTGTGGCAGATATTCTCCAACTCCTCCTCTGTGATGTCTTCCACTGGGCGAATTACATGGGGCAGGGTCATGGACCCAGGGCGACGGCTTCTGGGCATGTCACCTTCCTGCACAATAAGCATGGGACAGCGTTCTTACTGGCTCTCCCCAATTCCGAATCTGATACCTGATTTCTTCACAGAGAATTCAACCTAAAATTCTTAAGGCTTATGGAGAGGAGACAAAGTAAGAAGTTCACAGGACACCATCATGGAAATAATTCCTACAACTAAGAAAAGATGACGAAGAAAGAAACTTTGATTCCCTCACCAGCTAACAAAAATCTTCAAAATATTCTAGACATTCACAACTTGATCATAACAGAATCCATATACAGGACAGAAAACTAAGAAATGTAGTGAGTGTGGGCCTGGCCAGGGTGGCTCAGTTGGTTGGGCATCATCCCGTGCACTGAAAGGTTGCTGGTTCAATTCCTGGTCAGGGGCCTGTGCCCTGGTTCCGGGCCAGATCCCGGGTAGGGGGTGTGCAGGAGGCAACTGACTGATGTGTCACTCTCACACCAATGTTTTTCTCTCTCGCTCTCTCCTTCCTCTCTCTAAAAATCAATTTTAAAAAATGTGGTGAGTGTGGTAAAACCTTTAGACTGAGTTCAAATCTTACTCAACATAAGAAAATCCACACTGGAGAGAAACCTTATGAACATAAGTGTAGGTGTCAGTTTTCACCCAATTTGCAAGCCTTATGGGCATCAGAACATACTGAATAGAAAGAAACATTGGAAACCTAATTTATGCAGCAATGCTTTTTTTCAGAGCTCATCAAAGAATTCAAACAGAAAAAAAGCCTTACACGTATAACTGAGATAAAACTTCTGCAGTGTTTAAGCCTTACTCAATCCTCAATGTTACATCGTGGACAGAAACCATATCAAACTCATGTATGTGGCAAAGCCTATAACCAGGGCTCACACCTCACTTGATAGCATAACATACATCTTTGAGAGAAACCACACAAATGTATGGCGAGGCTTATCCAAAATTTAAACCTCATGGAACACAGAATTCTTACTAAGGAGAAACCTTACAAAGGTGTTGAGTGTGACCAGTTTTATAAAATACACAATTTTGTGGTCATGACAGAATTCACATAAGATGGAAACCATATAAATGTGTCAAGACCTTTAGCAATGACCTGAATACACCAAAGAATTCCTGCTGGACAGAAACATTACAAACGCAATAAAGAGGATTAAGTTTAATCAATTATCTCAATCAACACAAGAAAATTCATTCTTGGAGGCACTATGTATATTACTTGTGAAGATTAATTAACCAAGGTTAGATGTTAAATTCTAAGAATTAAAAGTTAAAATTATTTAAAACTCATGAGAATGCTGTATATCAATAAAGGAAGTAAATCTGTGGAAAGGTCCAATGCACTGTTATTGATGACAAAACAATCATCAAATAAGTTGGTACAACATTAACAATTCTGAATGGTTTGAGAGGAACATTTAATGTAGATCATTTGGTGTTAGGCCTACAGAAGATGCAAACCAGAAGAGCAAGCACAGATGTGGACAACTCACGTTCATGTAGCCGTCCATGGTCTTCCTCTTTCTCACCAACATGTACTTATCTTCCTCCTCCTCCTCCTCCTCCTCCGTGGGTAGCTCGCTAAGGGACCCAAGGACCCGGGACCTTGACCTGGTGAGAGGCCGCGCTCTCCGATCGGGGTTCCTCCTAGAAGTGGCACCTGGGAATGTACGCCTTCGGGGTGTCTTTGATTGCTAAACAAAACACATATCGCAGAACCCACTTATTCCAGAATGAAAAGAAGTGGCACCTTCTCCTATATGTTTTTGTTTAAGTGAATGGAGAGCTCCATTTTCTAATTATCTTTGTCCTTTTTATAACGCATGGAAAACAAGTCTAAAACACGATACAGCCATTATAATTTTGCTTTTGTAACACCAAGCCCAGTTCCTCTCAAACCGAGAAATAGTTTACTTATTCATCTACATGACAAAGACATAAGAACAAATCTTGGTTTCCAAAACAACCTCTTCTGTACACGTCTCTTGAGCCCTGACACATACTCACTGTTTCTACACTGCACAAGAGAGAACACATGTATGGTTTTCCTTCTTCCACTCCTTGCTCGCTTCTTCCCTTTCTCAAGGAGGGGTGGGGAAAGAAAAGTCTTTTCTTTTGTACCACAGCAGACGCATCAAATTCCCCTGAGTGGCACCAGCTTAGTTCCTCAGAATATAATCACATATATTAGGCCGTGACTTGGTTAAGAAATAGTTCTTTTCCTTCTCAGATGTTAAAAGCATCTACTACGAAAAAGAAATGTGCTAATGCTGGGAATACAGAACAATTATTTTCCTATCTTTATTCCTTGCCCTTTAGGGTTTAGTCTAGTTGGAAAGAAGAGAAGCAACCCATCACTAGGGGTTTGAGCACCACACAAGCTGGCACAGGGAGGCCACAGGAAGGGCTCCCAGGTCTATGAGAAGGTGTCCTCTGTTTCCTCTGTCTGTAGGACCACACAGATGTGGAGACTGGATTTTCAAGTATCCTAACAAATCCACCTTAGAGCTGCCCAAAATACTACTGAACAAGAATCGCACTTACCGATCTGGGGCCTGGGAGGCAATGTCGTCCAGGGAATGAGCCAGGGAAACTTTCTAATTCCGACATTAGTTTTGCGAGCTAAAAGGGAAAGAAATGAAGCAGAAATTATTTATTTAGAATAAATGCTGAAAACGAGTAACTTCTGGAAATTACTGTAGTACATCTCAAAGAGTTTCTGATTTCTCCTACACATTTACCAAGACTTGAATAGATTTAAAAAAAAAAAGAAAAGTTACTTTAGGGAAAAACACATTTTATTATTTTTTAAATTTAATTAATTTTGTTACAGATGTTTTTCCTTTTTCCCCCATCGACAATCTCCTCCCCATCCCCCCCGCCGCCCGGGCCCCCCCAGCATTGTTGTCTGTGTCCATCGGTTACACATACATGCATATAAGTTCTGTGGTTTCTCTCTTCTCCACCACCCCCTCCCCCCTCTTCTGAGGTTTGTCAGTCTGTACCCTACTTCTGTGTCTCTGGGTCTATTTTTTAAGAAACACATTTGAAAGCACACATTGTAAAGACTTCATAGCTGCAGTGAAAACAATTCTTGACACAGATAACCAACAAGTGGCTTAGAGAAAAGCTGGAAGAGTCCATTCTAACACTTTCCAAGTCAGATACCTACCATTGCTTTGTTTTGCTTTATATTTAAAGCCCTTTTCTCTAAAAAATTCATGCCATTTTCATCTTCTGAATCAGGATTGGAATCAGTCACAGATTTCTCCGAGGGTTCAGGGGCTGCTGCTCTTTTGCTGGCTGCTCCCCTGGTGTTTCGAGTTGGAAACTTCATGGCCACCCGGAGAGGTGCAGAACGTCTGCTTTGACTGCGGGTCCTACAGCCTGCATGGTCTGACTGTAATCTCTAGTTAATCAGAACAATGGAGTCATTAATGACTTGTTTGGTGAACAGGCTGCACCAGCATGACTACAAAATCCCTTCTGAACAAAAGACACTTGCAACAAATAAATTTTAATTGACCACTTTAATTGTCCATTTTAATTGACAGCTCTGGGTAATAAAATCAGAAATTATAAATAAATGCAACAATATGAGTGTAGTTTAATTCAGGTAGCCTATCTGGGATACACAATTATTAAGCTGTCTTCACAGCCCCTAGTCCAATGGTTCTGGGCCATATTTCTTAAAAATAAAAATCCCAATTCTTTTTAATTTAAAAATAGATCTTATGTATTTTAAAAGAATTCCTACAAGAATAAATATGTGTTCTCCCATAAACATGGTTTCAATGCTTATGGTAATATTAAACTATATTAAAGATGTCTCAAGGCTTTGCTCTACTTCTGGAAAAATTGTGGTAAAATATCCATAGCATACAGAAATACCATGTTAACCATTTCTAAGTGTACAGTTCACTGGCATCAAATGTATTCATATTGTCGTGCACTCACCACCACCATCATCATCTCCAGAACCTTTTCATCTTTTCAAATGGAAACTCTGTACCCTTTAAACAACTTCCACTCCCTCCCGCAGCCCCTGGCAAGCACCCTTCTACTTTGTCTCTATGAATCTGACTACTCTACATACCTCTCTAATCCACTTTTTATAAAACTTAAAAAAAAATTCATATTTAGCCCAGCCAGTGTGGCTTAGTGGCTGAGCGTCAACCCAATGCACGAAGAGGTCGCTGGTTTAATTCCCGGTCAGGGCCCAGTGGGGGGCATGCAGGAGGTGGCCAATTGATGTTCTCTCTCATCGATATTTCTCCCTCTCTCTCACTCCCCCTCAATAATCAATAAAGAAAAAAAATATTTTAATTCCTATTTTAAAGTAACGTAGATTTCCATCATTAAATATGTATTAAGATTAGCCACTGGGGAAATGCAAATTAGAATCACAAAATACCACTTCACACCCACATAGATTGATGGTTAGAATGCAAAATGGTACGGCTACTTTGGAAAACAGTCTGTCAGGTCCTCAAAAAGTTAAACAGCGTTATTACACAACCCAGCAATTCTACTCCTAGGGTAGATACTCAAAAGTATATGCCCATGTCCTGGCCAGTTTGGCTCAGCAGTTAGAGTGTTGGCCCACGGACCAGAGAGTCCTGGGTTCAGTTCCTGCTAAGGGCACGTACCTCGGTTGGTTTGTCCCCAGCCCCAGTTGGGGTCGTGTGGGTAGCAACCAATCAATGTGTCTCTCTCACATCAATGTTTCTCTTGCTTTCTTCCTCCCTCTCTCCTTCCCACTCTATCTGAAGATAAATGCAAAAATGTCCTAGGGTGAGGATAAAAAAAAAAAAAAGTATATGCCCACACAAAAACCTGGACATGAATGTTCCTATCAGTGTTATCTGTAATAGCCAAATGGTACAAACATCCATCAACTGATGAATGGGTAAATAAAAAGTGGTATCTGCACACAATGGAATATTCTTCAGCAACAAAAAGGGCCGAAGTACTGGCACATGCCACAACATGGAAGAACCTAAGTGAAGCAAACCAGTCACAAAGGACCACATATTATATCATACATACCATTTATATGAAATGTCCAGAATAGGTAAATCTATGATAGAGAACAGATTGGTAGTTGCCAGGGACTGAGTGTGTTGGGAATGGACCCACCGTAACTATTAATGGGTACAGGGTTTCTTTTTGGGGTAATGAAAATATCCTAAAATACATTGTGATGATAGTTGAGAAAAAATAAACAAAAAAATAATAAGAAAAAAAAAAAAAAACCCGTGAAGTCCCAGAAAGGGAAGACCCATTTTTAAATTCAAAAGTTTCTAAAATCCCCAGTTTTTACTACTCTCATGTACTTTTAGTGTGCACAAATTGAGACTACAAAATGATTAAAAAAAAAAAACAACTTTTGAGTTCTGAAGATTTTTAATTGATTTGTATTTTATTGATTGCAACAACCATCAAAAGAATTGAAACAATACTCAGAAGTGATTCAGGCTGTAGACAATGTTTGAGTCACATCCAGATTTGCAGACCAGCCCTTGCAATAACCATGCATTAATTTAGACCGGCACCACTCATTACAGGAAATATTACATTACCATGAAGTTAGACAGCAATAAAAACATTCCCTGGTCAGGCATTCTCACTTATGTCAGCGTCACTCAAGTGTGGTCCCAGGCAGTCAGACCACATTGAGCTGAAGAGCATGCACCTGACTGCAAATCAACTCACTGCTTCCTTTGCCAAGAAAGCATCTGCAGAACTGAACAGTATTTTCAGGGAGAGTGGGACCAAGGTGCAGCAGCGGCAGCAGCAGTGGCCTGAGCAGGAGGAGAGGTTAAAGGTAAGGCAGTGTGCAGAGGAGAAGCAGGACTAAGGAGCAAAAGTGTAAGCAGGAAGGGCCCTAATTGTCATTATCTGCACTCAAGCCCCTGCACATGAGTTATCACAGGTTTTCCACATAAATAGATCCACTAGGGAAACAGTTACCAAAGGCTTGGTCTATGCCAGGCACTGGGCTGGTCACCTGAACTTAACTAACCTGGAGGACGTGTGTGCTTTCTCTGATTAGGCTGGATTTCTGTAGCAATAGAAATCTGGAGGTTGGCCAATTTTATTTTACCAGTTTCCAAGATTTTCAGAGCCTACAGAATGTTCAGACTTTACACGTAGGACTACTTTAGTAAAAACTGTTTTACATAAATACTCTTAAAATTTAAAACTGTCAACAAAATCTCTGGCATGACTAAAATGAAAACTACAAGAAAAAAAGCTTTTTAAAGCAAGTATGTTATCACGCCTCAAAATGTACCTTACTTTTTGATATTGGTGAAATTCTCAAACTCACCATTCCATCTTGTATCTCACTTTCTGAGAAACCGCAAAATGATTCATCGTCAGAGTCGGCGTGAAAAATACTGGCCAGTTCGTTAGTGACATCTGGCCTTGGTTTCTGCAAAAATCCACAATGGTCTAACACATCTTGCACCTCACTTTCTGAAAAGCCGCAGAAAGATTCATTATCAGAGTCCTCATAAAAAACATTTGCCAGTTCTTCACTGATATCTGACCTGAATTTAGGTTTCTGTAAAATAAATAAATAAATGTGGTTGTGCATTTTTCCCCCTTTTTCAAGAACCAATTTTCCATAAACCGTGCAGAGAGCAAATCACATTCACAAGTGCACTACAAGAGAATAGCTTTTGTTACAAAGAAAAATGGTTCAGAGGTTTACAAATGATTTCTGAGTTGTTATGGCAAATCATCAAGCATGTTAGGTTAGGCGACATTTCAAAAGGATAGAATAAGTAGCTAATCTACCTCCAACAATTACTACCTAGAACCACAGCAAAAAGTGAAATGAAATTACAGTGCATACTGTATTTTCGTAACGGCTGTATAGAAATGTAGGCAAAAAGCAAGCAGTTTTAATCACGCACAAAGCACTTGGGGCATTTTGAGCACTGCAGACTCAATTCTGTTTATTCTCAGGCAGCACTTACCGTGTTTGCAAAATTATCAGAAGCAAAGCTGTCACAACTGTCATCAGAGGATGACGAGGTTTCCATGGAAATCAACTTCACATAGCTGAATTTCTTGAAGTTCTTCTTTACTCTGCGATCCTTTTGCTGCAAATGGAAATGGCAATACTGTTAAGTGGGATGCTCACTATAGTATCTAACTAAAGATGTCATTTTTTAGTTTAGTAAGTTCAAACAGCACGGTTATGTCCATTTCTTATACCCTATATAGAAAAAGGGGGATTTGCAATTGCTACAAAAAAATTTTCAAAACGAGGGGAAAATCTTAAAATGGGATCCCTCTGGGAGAAAACTGTAATGATATTTATCAATTTAATCAAACATCGGTAGTGCTACCCCTTTACTCACCTGAAGAGCCCCCAACCTCTTAGCATTATGCTGAGCTCCCAAGGAGTTTAATGCCAAACTCCTAAAATTTGCCCTTGAAAAAATTTTTTAACTGTACCTCAAAACTACAAAATGGTAGAGTGATTTCTCTCCCTCAGCTGAAATTAAGCTATTCAGGTCTTTCTATGCAAGCTTTGTTGCGAAGTACTGTGACGCGAAGTTCCCAAACTACAAAACTGGACAGCACTTCTACTTCAAGATAGCAGGCTTTCAAACAGGCCTCATTCCAATCAGCAGGATACAGGGATTTCGGCACAAGCCCTTACAAATCAAATATATCAACCCAGTGAACAAATGCTCAAGGAGCCAAGTTAAAGGTCAAACAGCACTCCAAAACCAGGTAGAGTGCCTGATTCCACTCCAGCACTCTATCAGCCTGGCCTTTTAGCTCTTATAAGTCTTAAGTTTTTAGAAGTCCTTTCACAAGGTACAAATTACTTGTAGATATAAAAATGCTTCTTTCATTCATAAACACTTTCCAGTCTGGCACTGCTCATCAGAAAATGCAACTGGCATCTATCTCATGTAAAAAAGATAGCATTTCTGGCATTTAAAATGTAATGATATTTCTTAATGTTTTATTAGTTCATATATTTTTATTGGCTTAAATATGGCCATATTTAAGAATAGAATGGAATAGAAGTGACTCCTTACACCGAAGGCTTTTAAAGGGCAAGCTCTCTATGGGTCCCACCAAGATGTGAGAGGTTTGGTGAACATAATACTCTTGACTTTCTTTCTATACCTAACATTATGTATTTCATTGCAGTCTCTTGCAAATAAAATTATTTTCATGATGATGGTACCCAACCACCCTATGCTTCTAAGTAGACTCCGTTCAATCATCTTAGTAAGTTTTTGTCTTTTGTCCTTTAGAAAGGCAAGAAAATGTGATAAAAAGTAGAGCTACTACCTATCAAAGGAGATCTCAAACCCACACCTACTCCCCGCCATTTTCCAGAGGAATTCAAGGCTCCAGGGAGATGAAGTAGATTGTCCAAGATCATAGGGCTGGGAAAGAGATATCAAGACTGCAATCTCCTAAAACAGCAGCATTCTTGCAGTACTGCAGGAAATATCATCATTAACTCATCAATCTATCTGCAAGCAGAGGCTGGAGACATTCAAGAGCGGCATTCTACTGGAAGCTGTCAGGGAAATATATGCTGGGCTTTTAACAAGTCAGCACATGCCAAGAGTTAAGTTACCAGGCAAATGTTATGTTTGGAGGAAAAGACAAGGAAGAAACAAGCAAATAGTTATGGTTAAGATAAACATTTTTGGTAGACAAAGTATAGCGCTTAGTAGGTGTTTTGCATGCCAGGCACTACGTATACTTTCACATTATAATTGATTCCTTGCAATAAGGTGCAGCATTATTCCCACTTAACAAATGGGGAAACTGAGGTTCAGAGAGGTTAAATGGATTACTCAAGTCACACGATGGCCTATAACATTAACCACAGGCATGCCAGATTCCAAGCTCAGCTACAAATGGCTTTCTTCATCCTAAAAACCAAAGCCTAATCCCAGCAATGTCTCTGAAACCACGTGCCCAACACGCTCTCCCCAGCCCCCAGTCTCTCCATTTGTGAGCTTCACCCGATATTTATTTTAAGCATGTCACGCTCTTCCTTTTCACCCAACCCCCACCTTCTAACCTCTCGGGAGCAGACCCTACGTTCGAGTTTCCGTTACGACCAAAAAGCAACGTTCCATTTAGGCAACATCCTGCAGCTTGAGGGTTGGGGGCTGGGGAAAGGAATGGGCAAAAAAACAACAACGAATGGCTGGAAATAGTTTGGGTCACCAGGTCCTTCCAGTCCCGCCTGGGACTAGAAACACGTCCTCACCATGTGAGCAACCAGTGTCTGCAAGACCTTTAAACTTCAAACCTACCGACCTGGAGCGGTTAGAAGTGCCGTGGCCCAGGCAAAAGCGGCGGGGAGCTTGCCAGGGTCCCCAGCAGTTCGCGTGGCTGGAGCAGCCCACCCGCCCGGAGCTAACTGCTCGCAAGGGCTGGGGGCGCTGCAGGCTGAACTCCCGGGGAGCGGGGAGAGCGGCTCCCCTCTGCGTTCCACCGGGATCGGGCCCGCGGACGGAGGGGAGACGGCGGACACAATGGGTAGACCGGCCGCTGTCCGCCGCATGCACCTCGAGCACACGTGGCCCCGGACTCCCCACCGCTGCCAACCATCCTACCACTCTCTCAAATCTCCGAACCGGCGGGGACTGCCCCAGACCCCAAATTCCCCCGAGTGCACAAAACCTGGGCTTGCCTAGACGGAAGCCGCCCAGGACGGCCACCAGTTGATTGAGTAACACTCGGTCCTCGGAGTTGAGGGGAGTCGGCCCGCACCCACCGTGCCCGCCCCTCGGGTTTGCCCGCCAAGCCCTCACCGGCACGCGGCGAGCATCCATGCTGGCAGCCGGGGCCCAGACCCGCGATCGGGAAGGAGAGAGCGGAGAGCGGAGTAGCCGTGCGCGCCGCCGTCCCACCGAGCAGCCGCAGCAGGCGGGCGGGGCGCGCAGACCCGGGCCCGAAGGGCGGGGCTGGACCTGCTTTCCCGAGACGGAGCTCAGGTCCTGCAAGCTGTAGTAACCACCGCCCGAGCGCCCTGCCCGCTCAGCCCCGGAAATAAAGGCGGTTCCCCAAATAATCTGAACTCAAGTGAGTGCCTTGGAGTCCACTAATATCCGCCTGGAAAAAGTGGCGCTTTTAGGGCTCCAGGACTTCTCTGTTTAGGTTGCTGCGCGGTCCTGGGCGAACGGCGGGAAAGTGGTTCGTATTGCCGGAGGGTGAGCAAGCTGATTTGCATGCATTCCGGGGCTGGGAGCCGACTCGGGAAGATGGGGCAATGGAGAGCACCGCAAGGGTCCCGGGGGTCTCTGCACTCAGCCCCTGCCTTGCGGCCTGCAGTTTATAGTATTAAAAATAAAAATCAAAGAATCGAGCACGAGCTCCACTCTATTAGCGCATCACTGTCTCTGGGCATAGCGCTTATCTGGTAGCCACGCCATTATCTAAAGCAAGGAAAGGTGTTAAATCCGGATCTCTCTTACAATAAGGCACAGGAAGCCGAGTTGTTTTACTTAAGACTTGAGGTTTTCACATTAGGCAAAAGGCGGGGCAGTTAAGACTTACCTAAGGGATAATAACGTCTTTCGGGATGATCTGTGGTGGATAGAAGCTAAGGACAGTATTCATGGGGTTTGGAGATCTTTTCTCCGGTCAGGATTTAAAATGACCTAATTCAGGGTGAGCGGGAGCTGCTGCTTGCTCTTCTACTCACATCTGACGTGGACAAGAAATAAAGTGAGACATTTTTGAAAAGAGCAGGGGAGGAAGTTGCTTTTAGAAGAAAATGCAAAATGGGTTGTTTTAAAAGACTGGTTATCTTTCATTTAAAACAAGTGCTTGAAATGAATACACTCCCTTTTCCCCCTTCAAAACTTTTCTCTGGAATAATTTCTTTGCAGTAAGAGAGCATGCGCGAACGCATTGCCTTCCTCTTCCTATGCAATCCATACAAAAACTTGGAGCAAGTAGTAATGCTCGAGAACAATGGATTGGAAGGATTGGAAGCAACTTGGTCGCCAAGTCTGCCAACCTTTTTAAAAACGCCTACCCATGGTCGCTGTGCCAGGGGGAAGGGACAAAGAACTCACTTGTCTGCAAGGTAGGCGCCAGGAAAGGCTGTCGGTCTGTCTGGTGAAATGCCTGCAGTAGCGGGGGGGAGGGGGGGACCCTCAGTAAATATTTGTTGAGCAAGTAAACAACTCTATGAATGGTGAATGGGGGAAAACTGTTAATGCAGTGTCCTTGGAAATACAGTCTTGTACTACTAAATTAAATATATGAGAATTTGAAATTCTGAAATATATGAAGGAGGAGATGATTAAGTCACTTTGCCTATGAAAGTTTCTGACAGGAAAATTCTTAGCCCTCTAGAAGCACTAGAAAATGATTTGGTTTACAAACTTTTTAAAGGATCAGATCAGATCTCTGACAGTCTTTTTAGTAATCAGGCAAATGCAAATTAAAACAAGGAGAGACAGTTTCACTTAGATTGGAAAAAAATTTAAAAGCCAGATAAGACCAGGTGTTGGCTAAGGATATGAGGAAATTCTGGCAATGATGTTTGTAGAGAGCAACTCAAGAGTGATTAGTAAAACTCAACAAAACCACTTCCAGACATATACCCTCAAAAAAAGCTTTTCACACTACAATTTCAACTCAGTGGTGGCAACTAGCATATTTTCTTCTTCTATGGTTCTTTTTGAAATAAAAAAATAAGAGCAGTGAGTATTATCTCCCTAAATATGCGTCACTTTTGTGTGTTTGTGTGTATGCTGTATGAAATGTATATTTCATGTTGTACTTCACCATCAACGGAGTCCTTGAGTTGCCATCCTGGAGAATGTACATGATGAGTTTTGTGCTGATGTTCTCTCCTTCACTCAAGGATTGCCAAAGGGCAATTACACCAGGCACTATTCTGAGTACTGGGGACACAAAGACCAGGCAGTTTACATGCTAGAAAAGCAGAAGTAATTAAGGTAAATTCAGTGTGAAAACTTCTGAAGAGAAACATAAAGGCAGGATAAGGGGATAGAAAATGAAAGAAGTCCCAATTGAGAGAAGAAACAGGAAAAACTTCTCTGAGGAACATGCTGGGTCGAGAACCTGAATAAAGTAAGGGAGGGAAATGAAGACTGTGCTGGCTTGGGGTAGAGTGAGCAGCTGGGTCACAGGCTCTGTGGCAGTGACCAGAAGTCCAGTCTGCTGGACCATAGAGAGGTAGGGAAAGAGAGGGAGAGCGGCTAGATGATGTGGGGTCTTCCTGGCCGTCGGAAGAGTTTTCAATTTTATCCCAGGTAGGATGGGAAGGATTTGATGAAGAAAAGACCCAATCTGACCTCATGAGCTGTGTGAACTCTATATAAACTGAAGGGGACCAAAAGTGGAAGCTGGAGAGGCTTAGGAGTTCCTGGAGGAGAAAATGATGGCTTGGACTAGGGTACTTATGGGATCAGGAGAAGATTTAAGATATATTATTTTGAAGACAGAGCTCATCAGATTTGAGAGATGGATGGTTCATTCAAAGTAGCATTGTGTATCAGTAAAATATTGCAAAGAATCTAAATTCCCCTCAGAAGGGAAATGGATACATGAATAGTAGTATATTCATGCAATGGAATTTGAACAGTTCGAATTAGTGGCATAATTACTTGCATTAATGTTCTTAGTTTGTTAACCTTCATGAAAAATCCACATCGTCACCACAGATAAATTCACTGAAGAACCTTTACTTCTTTTTGCAGTCCCCTGGCTTTTTTCCTTCTGTCCTTGCGTTCCTTTCTCTGTTTTCTTGAGATCTTCTCATTCAGGCCATGTCATGCAAATGTGAGTTTGGGTTCCGTTTTCTTTCGTAGCTCAAAGAATCATAAATCATGCCGCCGGTTGTCTTGCCACCACCAAAACGGGTTCTGAATCTAAGCACAAAGATAACAGCATGTACATTTTGGCTGATTTTCCCCAAATTTCTATCCTACGTACACAGTTACCTTTCCAGGGTGAAGAAGGTCGATGACCATTTGTTTCCGCTGAAGTCGTTTGTGGGTCATGTACTTCCTGGTCCGGACAGTGACTGTGTCACTCCTGATGGTGGCCCATCTTTAAGCAGCAGGGAAGGAAACAGTGTGTAGATAAATCTTAACAGTGTTGCAGGAACAAGCAAATTGAAAATGTTTCTGTAAGGTGTATCCCTTATACAGATTTTAAAAACACAAAACATACATAAGCTGTGAAATGATAAACACATGAACAAACAGTAGGGTAGAGGTAAACTCTGGGGAGGGAAAGGTGGAGGAAAGGGGGGAGGGTATGGTCCTCGACTCTTTTATTAATGCTTTAAAAAAAATGGTGTAAAGCAATATAGTGTTAAATGTGAGTGGTGGGTACATGAGTGTCTTTTAAATTTTTACGCCCCATGTTTTGTTTTGTTTTTATATCTGTAATGTTATAATCAAACCTTTTTAAATTTTGAAACATTTGTCCTGTCAATCAAGATATCTATATATATTTGTAGTGTTAAATATATAGTCCCTTTATAGTGTCCTATAAATGGGAATGCAAATTTGTCTTACAATGTTAGGTACCTCATAAAGGTTGTTTTTTTTTTTTTTATCCTCACCCGAGAACATTTTTCGATATTTTGTTCAGATAGATTGAGTGGGAGAGAGAGAGAGAAACATCGACGTGAAAGCGACACATCGAGTGGTTGCCACCCACATGACCCAACCAGGGCTGGGGACAAACTGCAACCAAGGTACGTGCCCTTAGCGGGAACCGAACCCGGGTCTCTCCGGACCGCAGGCCGACGCTCTAACCGCTCAGCCAAACCGGCCAGGGCCCTCATAAAGGTTTTAAGTCACTATGTTAATCATTTGCTGATGAATGTTAATTGTGAATGAAAGACAAAATGAATATGAGTGGAAATGCAGTGTGCAGAGAAAGATGGGGGCCCAGGCCACAGCAACAGGTAATAAGGAAAGACATTTCCTGAGCACATGCCTGACATACACACTGTATTTGATAGGAAGGCTGTAAATACAATAGTACTCAGTAAATACTTACTACCAACTAGAATGATTGAGATGGAATTTTAAATTCATAAAACATTTTAAAATACCAGTCTCCTGTTCAAGAGCTCTGAATTCCTTGGGTTGTTAGGAACTTTAAGGATCCATGTGTGTTGTCCTGCAGCTTTTATTCACCTTGCACAAAAAATCCCATTTCCTATTATAAAGTCTGAAACTTGACCCTGAGTGCTCATGTTCTCACAAGAGCACTCAGCACTTGGATAAAGAGGGGAGCCAGAGTCAAACTTGAACTCAAGATGATTGGTTTTAGAATAAAGAATGAAACAAATAAGATGTATCACTTTTAGATGATGCTATTTCAAAACAAAGTTCATGTCCCAGCAGATGTACTGCTCTGAGTCCCACACACCCTTCCTTCTCTCACAGGTGTAACATGAGCCCAAGCAGCTCTGTAACCTTCAACAGGCCATGCTCACCGGGAGACAGGAGACAAAGAGCTGGAAAGAGTGTTCACTGTTTATGGATACAGACAGGTTGCAGTCTGTCAGGTCACAAATCTCTGCTTTCATTAACCCCTAATTATAGATTTACCTCCTGAGTGCAGGCTTTCAGGATGCAAAAAGGCAAGAAACCTAAAAAGCCTCAAGTTACCCAGCCACTCTGTGGGAGGGCCCAGCCCTTTGCCACCCTGGTTCAGTCAGTGCAGAAGCCCAGCCTCTCCAAACTACATTGGTATGTTTGCTTTTGACATATGTCAACACTCTTTTAAGTAGGTCAGTTTGCTGACATCTGATACTTGATTAGAGGAAGAAATATGGATACATGAATGCAAATGTGGCCATTTTGAATAAGAGGACATGTTTGCTTTTTTCCTGGATCATCAATTTCCGTT